GGTGGTGGTGGTGGTGGTGGTGGTGGTGGTGGTGGTGGTGGTGGTGGTGGTGGTGGTGGTGGTGGAAGTCGGTGTGGACGTCATCACGGCAAGTGCTTCTGGATTACTCCCGTCTTGATCGCTGTCAAGGTCGTTTAGGGCACACATCAACTCGGTTTTTTTGGCTGAGACATCACAACACACAATCGAATCGACCACGCTAAATTTTACTGGCTGTTAAGGCCGCCGTAGGCGCATTGGGTGCTGCGGTGACATAAGATTATAACTCTCTAACGACGAATGCATGCTCATGGTGTGTGCGTCTTGGTTAAACGTCAAACAAAACGATTGGTTAGCCATGATAAAGTAGAGAAAATTCGCAAATTGCAGTTCAACTGCTGCCGAGTGAAGATGGCCACAGCAGCCGGTAATTGATCAAATTAACTAAATTTATACTGGACCGTAAAAGCAATGGAAATTAAATTCGTACAAATGATAAAATTATAAACAGAAGGAGTCAAGTCAATGTTCAGTCAATTGATTAGCCAATGAGTTAGCTAATAAATTTGTTTAGCTAAAAACGCACAGCCAATAATGACTAACCAATGACGTTGATTTGTCAATAACGGTTAACTAATAACTTTAAACACCCAATTAGAACTAGCCAATAAAAATTGATTAGACAAAAAAACCTAATTGCTTCAAAAGACGATTAACCAATGCAAACACAGCATGGGAACGAGTACAACTCCAGAGAAACGTATCTCGGCCACTGCTTAACGTTTTATGTTGATCAGAGTTTGGAGATAGACTTTCGAGGTTAGATAGATCAACAAACAAGTTTCGGTTAATCCTATTGGTCGATTCGGGAAAACAACTGAGAGATAGACTGAAGCCCCGTAAACGCGCTATCTACACCAGCGATCTGTCCAGCGAATTGTCCAATTAAAACAAAACGGCCGAAATGGGAATACAAAAAGGTCGGAAGAACCAACAGGCACAACTCATTTTCATCTCGACTAGAAAGAGGGGGGAAAGGAAAAAAACACGACAAGCTAATTTTAAAAATCGTCTGTTCGAGAGGTGGCGCTTGGCCGAGCAATTTCCGCCAATGGCGTGATTTGTTGTGATCAAAATTAGCAGGCGAAACTGGGCAATTTGGGGAGGGTTTTTAAATGACTGCTGTTCCCAAATTTGCATCCTACTCCCAGGTTGTTTGCCAAGTAGCAAAACAACCATAATTGAGGTTGTGATGGGAATTTCGAAGAGGGCAGGGAGGGGGGGGAGGAGGGCAAAGCGAGCGCCAGATAGGGACGAAGAGCAAACAACAACGCGAGGGATTTCGTTTTGCGCCTTTGGAGACACCGACTGCGGCGAGTTGCAGGCAGTTGAAGGAGTCAACAAACGCATGACAACTGAGCGATTTCATCTACTTCTGCTTCTCCCTAACCGGCGAAATGAAATTCCGCTGCATACTAAGGTCTAGGCTGCAAGTATGCTTACCATACCGCCTAATTAACCTGCCAGTGTATGAGCGCTTGTTTTGAACCGCGTTGATCCGGTCACTTCAGCCTCCGACACAGGGTTCCCCTTTTCGCAGCATGTCGCCAGCCGCGCGGATCCCCAACTCCCCCCTCATTAGCGCGAACGATGATCCACACACCTATGGCTCACACATCTAGGGTATAGATACGCGCAAACCCCACCCACGACACCACCTTGGTTGAACTCTGAAGTGAACGGTTGTGTCCACGTCCTCTACGGTCGTTTTCTTCATCGCCAGTAGCGGGGAAGCGTAAGCGGATCCAACTCAGTGGCTCAAGACCACATGCTGGGGCCCAGAACACATGTAAAACACATGAAATTATATTCGTTTGGTTTCTTTGTAATTATGGCTACCACCGCCTTCATGATCATTGGGTCATCGTTTCAAAATTGCTAGAGGTAGCAGCAATACAGCATCGATGACCTTTGGTATCGAAAACCACAACGAAGACCAACAGCTACGTTTGTGGAATTTGGGGCACTAACTACGTAGGCGTGTCGTCAGAGCGATGTGAGTAGACAGGGTCATTTGACATTCTTTATTGGGAATTTTCAGAACTACAATGCTGCGCATTACACCAGTAACAATTGGGAGCAACGCGGATTCGAGAGCGAATCAGAATCTGGGAACATTGCTTAGCGAGGGATGAATGGATGGAAAGAGGGATTGCGTCGATACCTGCCCATATCGATCGTGGTGGCAGCCTTAATTTGCACACAGCACAACGTCATTTGGTCGGATAGGAGCATATTTCACCGATACTACACATACAAAGCCGTTGATTGGTTAGATTGGAGCACATATCACTAGCAATGCAAATACACACACAACTTGGATTGGCTGAATAGGAGCATATTTCACCGATACCACACATACAAAGCCGCTGATTGGTTAGATTGGAGCACTGTCACTCACAATGTGAATACACACAACTCTGATTGGTTGAATAGGAGCATGTCACTGGCATTACACACACAACGCTGTTGATTGGTCGGATAGGGGCATATGTCATTGACAATACGTTCATCCACACAGCGACGTTAATTGGTCGAATTTGAGCATATTTCACGAGGATGCGCCAGAGATGTTAAAGGAGATTTAATAGAGGCGGGAGGAGGACGTAACGGGGTTGCCGATTGCACAGAACCACAAAGACAAATTAGCCAACATCACCACCACCACTACCACCACCACGAAAGACTAATCGGATTACTAAATTTCCCGATCTTCTTTCCCCTCCTTCTTCTGCCCCATTTTTTTCTACTTTCGTGTTCTCCTCGCACGCCTCCCTCCAACCGGCGGTTTGTGTGCGGTTAGGCAAGAAGCCACAGTGACAGTGCACTTCCGCCATTCCCACCCACCTACCCACCCACCCCCCGGCACAAGGGATGACAGGCGCGAAAAAGCATCTAATTGAATTAAAACAACGCCAGAAATTCGCGGCCGAGCCTGAACATAAATGGACACGCAAAAAGAAGGGGTTAAATTCGCCTCCCTGACAGGGAAGGCTCGCGGAGGGCATAATTAGTGTCGGTCTTGGTGGTTTCCACAAAATTTTGTTTTAGGGGTAAATTTTGCTTCAGAACGGTGCTCTGAATGCTCCACCTTTGGTCAGACTGTTAGAAGTGGTTTTAAGGTGAAAAACTCATCGATTTTAGTGTTTGTGAAGAGCGATGGTGATTCGAATGCGACACACCATCACAGTGGACAACGGTGATTGGTTTGATTGGGCAGCACTAAGTCCCGTTAAATTGGCGCTTACACTTTGTTCAGACAGACGTGGAGGGTATTAGTGAGAGGACGCACGCAACGCCCACTGCCAATCATTGGCGTATTTGTGCGTGCGTGTGCGTGTGTGTGGTCACTCCTAGCTCAATTGTTGGGGATGTTAATATTCCCCAGGACAAGTTAACTAACATTTAACCCTTCATTCACGGTGCATCGCTGTTCACACTATAATAACTCATCACTCGTTGTTAATCACTCAACGCTTCCGGCTCGACTACTTACCCTCCGGCAGTAGTATCTACAATTCCACACCTTTGACTTCAAGAATGTGAATCAGCTGTGATCTCAGGTCGACATCATTCACCGAGCAAGTGATGCATCTGATGGCGCAATCGCTTGCCTTCGTGGAACATGCAAATTGTCAACTCCTACCGACTTGCTGTGGCTGCTACCTAATCCAGTTTCAGTAGTATCTGTTAGCACGCATCCGCTTCGGCTCCACCAAACCCAAAAGCATTATCTTCTACCAAACCGATTCAGGAATGGCGGTTAACTGTGCTTGAGTCGACTGATGTTTGGGTGACTGCAGATTCACGCCAAACCACCAATATCGATTGTTGAGTGATTTTCACTAGCTGCGACCACCTCCACAGATGCACGACCACTAACTCCAGTGAATCGACTTGATAAGCAACCAATACAGAAAATCTCACGCACCTCTTTGTTATTAGGTGACCTTCCGTAAGATTAACCACGCTAGTCCTGACTAATCCATTGTTTTAATCCTAAATCTCACTGAGCGCCATTCACAATTTGTCCAATGGGCGAGTAAGACTCACTAAATACCACTCTTCTCCACTCCTTTGTCACATACGTTCACTGTTGTCGGACTGATTGAACACTTGGGGCTTCCGATTTCGTTTGTGAGCCTCGTAGTTTCGTAGACACTTGATGTTTACGGTAAGAAAAGAATCGTATACGTCAAAACTGTCCTCTTTTTCGAAATAGTCCACGAAAACACACGCCAGACTAACAGCTGCAAAGAAAACTACGCAAAATTGCCTCGCCCATCAAGCCAAAAAGCGCGATTCTAGACAAAGATACGTGTAAAAAGAGGACAAGTACTTTCTAGACAATGTACATTTCTAGGGAATTAAAAACTCACCCATGTGATGGAAATGTGGAGGGCAGGGATAAACGCGGCCACGGAAATCCATGCTGTGGGGGAACCAGAAGACCTTGTCTCGGTACTAAATTAAGGAAAAAAACAAGCAACTTGCATAATGCTTCTGTCTTAGGGGGTACAAATGTGTTCTAGAAATGAATGCGACGTTTCCACACCTGATTTGCAATCGATAATCGATACATCTCCGTCGCCCAGAGAGATCTGGTTTCGTCGTGGGCTTTTCGAACACTGCGGAATTGCTTGTACGCCTTGATACGTTCCTCACGCGAGAGCGAACTAAAAGCGACATAAACGTCTACTTAATTTCACAAAGTAGGCAGTATTTTGGACATGCAGAAGTCGGCTTGGAACACCGCACCTGTCAAATTTCCTCCGAGGAATGGGGACTAATGACTTGATCTCGGGAATACTCAGATCCTTGTCGCCGCCTTCGCGTGCAACTCGAAGCATGGCGTCAAGAAGCTGAAAGAGAAAGACAACCAATCAAACAGACTTGGGGTGTCAGTCTAAACACCGAGTAGGTCAAAGTGCACTTACTGGTACATTAACTTTCCACGCACACGAGGCCAGAGCGTTGAGCGAATCAAAGACCATCGGCACGGAATTCGCATCGAAATCGAGGTCGTCGTTTGCTGCGGTGTCTGCACCCGGAAAGTAGCTTGTCTTCCGGATGAAACGGGTCGCGTCGCCTAAGGTAGGAGCATCGATTTAAACAAAAAACTTGGCAATCTTACTGGAAGCCAGCAGGTACCCAGCTCGTTTGGTATCGATCCAAGGAATGGGAGGACACAGCATGGGGAGTTCAGTTGCATCGAATACAAGCGGTGGGTGACCGGCAGCACGATACCACCTCAACAGCGTCGGGTGAACCTTGTACCAAAAATGCAATATTATGACTACTTAAATAAATCTTAGTAGTGAGTGACTTAAGGGTGAAAAACGCACCCTGATTTCGTAGCGTGCGTCCCCCGGCTGCTCGGACATGACCTCGAACAACACGGGCGCTTCCTGGTGCAATTTAGTCTTAGGTTCCCTATCCACCTTACCTCCATTTAGGTCGAAAGTGAGGTGGTCGTAGAGTATTCGGTAAAGCTCTTGACCAACCAGAAGACGCAGGTGGGTATTCCACTGGGGCCATTCTGGATCCTCAGAAAGAACACAACGCGGTAAAATAGAGCAAATAACGACTGGAGAAAAAGACATGCTTGTTTTTTCCTGGTCTTACCAAACTAACGCCACTTTCAGCGTTCATTTGCAAAGAGCGCAGCCACATTTCACGAAAGTGCTCAGTTGAACGAGTGGAATTGGTAAACATTGCGGCGTAGTTTTCGTACACTTTAGCCAGCTGAAATGTCCGAAAGAATTGTCTTGGTGAAATTTTTTAAAAAAGTTCCACCTACTGGAGAGATGACAGTAGTAAGAATAAATTAGAGTTCAGGGGACGAACCTCATCAATGATACCGGCATTTTGCTTCCGCCAAACGAGGCAAGCAGCCTCGACGCGTTCACCGAGACGCTGCAGAAATAAACTTCTGCTCACGTGTTGCAGCTCAGAATTCGTTACGATGGTGTCCACAGCCTATTAATGGAGAAGGGGATGGGATAACGACTGGTTATTGAAGTCCAAATACTTAGTAAAGCGATCAGTTATCCGGGACTTTAGATAGCCTGAGATTCTTGCAAAAATTAAAAAAACATACCTACTGATTAAGTGACAGTAGCAATTACAAACGCGTTCAGTGGCGTACACTTTACCTGAATCATCATGTCTACGTACGACTTCTTGGGCAAAATCTTCAGAAAAGGATAAGCAGTAACTCGACCCTCTAAAATAGAAAAAGGACAGCTGTTTTCTCTTTTATTTACGTAGTAAGCTTACGTGTGTGGGCAATTTTGAGGCGTTGCAGTGTTCCTTCGAAGGCAGCTGTGAGCTGTCGCCGCCAACTATTATTCTGCTCTTTCAGAAGCGATTGTCGCTAGACGAAGAAAACAAGGATCGTTGGGTGAATTTTAGGGGAAAAAAGAAAAACCGAAAACCCACCAGACCCTAGGCAAGAGCATTCGACAGCTACATGTGCTGATCCACGCCAACATGTCGGCCGTCCGAGCATGCGCTATGAGTTTACGCAAGTGACCTCCACAACAACACGACAGATAATGCTTCAACGTGACCAATCGGTGCAATCTGGTACCTGTTGCGTCAGCCGATCGGAGAGTTTGCCGGAGGGCGGCGACTTGGACGCCTCTGGAAGCATCTGCTCGAAGCACGGAAGGGCTGGCGGAATGGGCACCTGGCCAAACGTCTCCAGCTGGAGCTGTTCACGGAACGCCTCCATCATGGCAGCGGAGCTTTGAAAGACGTCGGAAAAGAGGTTGTTGGGGGACAACTACACACGACAAAACAACGATAACACCAACATAGGTCAAGGAAATGTCGTTGAATTGAGACTTGGGATGTCAGTTTGATTGGGTAGTCATTAGCGTTGGGTTTATGTACGTGTGCCCACTTGGCTTGTTCGTGGTCGATCGCGGTGTTGAAATCTGTAGCGGATTAACAGCGATGGCGCCAGAGTGAAACCTGTTTACTGACCTGACGGTGGCAATGACTCATCTTCTTTACATTGGTTACCGTTGTCAATTACCTGTCATCCGCTCACTCGTCCCCACACTTAGCTGGCGTGACGCTAACGGTCGTGTCCTCCGTCGCCTCTCTTCACTCCCTTCCTGGGTTGCTACGGACTGTTAACTAGAGGGTTGTAAGGCAGTGCTAAAGCCAAGCTCCTACAAATCGACCTTATACAGGCGGATTTCGATGAGGAGAGTTTAAACGCATCGTGTTATTACGCGGGTGCTTGATGAGTTAACAAGTAACCAATGAGATATTGACGTGTAGCTCACTCAAACTCAATACGTGGGTTGACTAGCAGATTTTGTGCTGAAGGGTGTAAGACACAAGAAAACGCACAGAGCACCCAACCACTCGATTGTTAAAGTTGAAAAGAAAACCAACGACGAAAAGCCCCAGTAACAAAAAGCGTGAAGGTCATCACTATTCTAATACCTTGTTAACATTCAGCTGGATGATTACTATATATTAATTTCTGTGATTACATGACAAGGCGGCTCAGACAGTCGTTCAAATGTGCACATACTATCCCAACATTGGCCCATTCTCGACAAGGGGACGGACAGGTCGGTGGTGACATGTGAACTACGGAGAGCAGGGACTTACAACGGCTCTGTCAAGAGCACGTGAAACACGCATTGCAACGGCCGATGTGGGACTGCTCGAGAGCTGAGAAGTAGCCGGGTGAAAGGATATATCTGCCTGCTTATCGGGAGTGGCAAAGAGTAGGGCAGTAAGAATCTTCTGAAGCGAGTACTTCCGCCTAGGATATCGTAGGAGGCCCGAGTAGACGTTAATGCCCTGTTTGGCGGCAGGAAGAGAAGGCGGTGGTAACGACGGACTGGGCAAGCGGCAAAGCACCGACAAGCGCCGACTTACGTGCTTCTCGGCCAAGGAGACCACTTCGATGACTTTGTTCTCGAGAAACGAGTGCAGGAGGCGTTCTTCCGCGGAGAGGAAGTTATTCAGCGCTTTCGGGGGCGCCCTGCCTTTGACGGAAAGATGAAGAAGGCCACCGATGCACTCCAGAGAGGCGAGGCATATGTTAAAAGTTGGTGCAATACCGTCTTCTTGCAGCCAATTAAGGGTCTTTTCAAGCGACAACCAGTCATTCTGTTGGCAGACAAAACGCTGTTAATGATAATTTTAGCAATAGTCGGACGATAAACGGTGGTTAGAGAGTTGGAAGTTTAAACTGATTGGGATTCAAAACTAGCAATTAGTGTTTTGAAACACGAACGCAAGGGCAAACTTGCACACAAATACGTCCATTTACGAAATAAAAGAGTGCTACCCAGTTCTATGAATGAAATCAATTAGTGTTAACCACAATAAAGCAAGGCGGAGAGAATAATTAGTGAGTATAGTAGCTTAGGCCACACCTACATAGATACTTTGACAGTATTGGTTCAACGCAACTGAGTTTTACTATAGCATTAAAAAGGGATAATCGAATTTCGCTACCGACCGTATTATTTTCGGGAATACAAACAGCATACGTACCCTTGCAGCGAAGTGGCGACATAACAATTCGAAGACCGCGTCCGAGATTACAACAGTACCTTTATCAAGGTTTTTCTCCATACGCGAACTTTTTCTTCTGCTATCTAGTGTCCTGAGCATTTGCCTTAGCTAACAAAACAGAGTAAGAAAATTTGTCAAAAGAAGCATTTCGGGAACAATAATCACAGGAAACCTCTTAAGCGTAGACAATTTTATTTTTTTTAACACAAAAGATATCGGATGACAAACCTCAGCAGTTTGAAGACAAGCATCTGTGTAGGCAGCAAAAGATTCGTTTTGAGAATATACTTTCGCAAGAATTGTATTGAGTTCATGGTACTCCGACCCATCGTTAACGAGCTCGTGTTCGATGGATTCCAAAAAGTTCAGAGACAGAAAAGATTGGTATTTGGAGAGAAGCTTGCTTTGTGATGGTAGAAGACGAATTTTTGGCACCAAATTCACTTGATGTAACAGCAAAGACGGCGTAACTTTGTCCACTTTGCGCTTCAAATGGCGTTTTCTGGTAAATGTTGCAAGGGTATCGAATGAGGAACCTAACGCTGAGTTCACGGTGAATTAAAGTGCATTACCACGGACGAACCGAGCTGGGTAGGCCATATGGAACTTTTGCATCACTCACACTAAATGGAATTTGCACACTATTTCAACAAACCATCCAGATGCGAAAAACGTGAAGGCTCGCAAAAAATGAGCCAAATGCACCAACCTGACCTTCACGTATTGGCGCACATGATGTAAAAATTTGACTTCGCCTCAAGCCTCCCAGAGTTACTAAAAAAAACTTTAGGAGATTGTATTTGTTATTTAACTTGAAAATAATTCTCTAGTATTATTAAATGTCCGCATAAAGTGTGCTGTTATTCGAATCCTTGGAATGACTTGCGCCGTCAACAGAGTCCAGACTGCACGTAATCTGTCTTTTAGGCGACAATGGTCAAGTTGGACATCTAAATTCCTTTCAAAAAGCTTTTTGCAAACTGTTTTAAAAAAAGTTTTGGAGGTGCTTAAAATCCACATATTTCACTGTAAGAAGGAAGTAAAAAATAGAAGCAAAGAATCCGCAAGTATTGCCAGCATTTTCATAATACTTAACGATGTGGATATGCTAAGTATTGTTCTGAAGGAGATTATGCAATGACCTTTTGATTTTTTTGATATGCGGTCCAAATGACATTTTTCAAAATGATCACAGAAAGTTTAAATTGCGAAAAAATATTATGCGACAACACATGCCGAATTATCACTGCCAATTTTACAAACGACTCTGCATTTTTCAAGAATTTAACTACAATGCGTCAGTTTAATAAAAAAAGACACAAGAATAAACCACAAATTGACAACGCATTTTAAACTTGACGTTATGGAATTTCATCCCATAGAATTAGGCAGGACATCTGACATCAACATTATAAAGGATTCCTCAAATAAGCAGATATGAAAAAAATATTAGGGGTTAGATATACATGTATGTTTTCATTACAAATGCTTTAACAAAAAAATCCACAGTCAAAATGGGTTAAATGACGACATTAGCAGCACACTAAATCAAAGGTAAAAAATACATAATAAACACTCAAAAATAATTAAAAAAACAAGACAATAAGATTAAAAAGAAGGTGTATTTAGAAAACTTGGGCATGAATATTATGATTCTAGCTTAATCCAACTAATATCTACAAGAGGGTGCAAATTTTTGTCTACATGATTTTGAAATGAAATCAGGTAAAGTCGTTATCTTTATTTGCATCTGCACAATCGAATGTATGTGCAAATTAGATACTAAAAAAATTCTCAAATCAGCAGGAAGGCATAGCAATTTAGACAATGTTAAAAAGCAACTTCCTCAGTCCCATGGTATCACCGCAGAAATATGATGCCCCAACATGACTTGTTATCTAACATTTCGCAGGGATGTCAGTGAGCTGTTAGGCAATTAAAAAAAGGCTGGTTTCTAGTGATTGCCTCCATTCTTTTTTTAACATGGCTTGGCACGGTTGCAGCACTAATTTTCAACCTAAATTCCATAATGATTCCAGCTTCGACAAATAACTGACAACATGGCATTTGCACGTGCCCTTCACGCCAACTACTTAGGCACTTAGAAGAGATAGAAAGAGTTTGCAAATCACACTTAAGGCATTAGAAAGTAAAAGTTACACGTTTTTGAAGATACCGTCAACAAGATATCAACGACCAGTTCATGGAGCTGAAATGAAATCGGACACCTAACAACTATAGTGTGTTTTTGGCAAACAAAAAGATAAACTTTGTAGTTAGGCTAAGAGTTCAAAAGCATTTATGCTAAGGTCGAGATCGCATAAAATACTGTTTAACTGTCGACCCCGTTTTGTTTGAGTCGTCACTTTCGGCGCCAACTTCTTACTGCACGCGAATTATGGGGTTTGACCTCTTGTTGGTTGTTTTCTACTTTTAGAGAGCCATCATCTGATGATATCGAAATCGAAACTAACTGTAATGAAATTATCGAAACGTTCGACGAGCTGAACCTCCGCGACGAGGTTTTGCGTGGAATCTACCAATACGGATTTGAGCGACCGTCTGCGATACAGCAACGCGCGATTTTGCCTTGCCTTCAGGGCCGTGATGTGATAGCTCAGGCGCAGTCAGGTACAGGCAAAACGGCTACCTTCGCTATAAGCATATTGCAGAAATTGGATGTATCCCTCTCGAAGTGCCAGGCCCTGGTTCTCGCCCCAACGCGTGAATTAGCCAAACAGATCCAATCAGTAATTTGTGTTTAGTGTTTCATGCGTAATGTCGTAGGTTATTCAAAAGATTGGTCATTTGTTGTGCGTGAAGTGCTACGCGTGCATCGGTGGCACACGCCTACAACAAGATATTCAAGTATTGTCTGATGGGCAGCACGTAGTTGTAGGTACCCCTGGTCGCGTGTATGATATGATAGATCGAGGGGCACTGACTACGGATTACATCAAGATGTTTGTTTTGGATGAGGCCGATGAGATGCTTTCGCGAGGCTTCGAGACGCAGATCCAGAATATCTTTAAATTCCTCCCCGAGACAGCTCAGATAGTGCTTCTTTCGGCTACGATGCCGACGGAGATCCTTGAGATCACAAAGCAGATGACCAACGACCCCGTGAGAATTCTGGTGAAGAAGGAAGAGCTGACATTGGATGGTATCCGCCAGTTCTACATTAAAGTTGTGCGTGAGGAGTACAAGTTTCAGACGCTGTTGGATTTGTATGCGTCAATGTCGATCACACAGGCCGTGGTGTTCGTGAACACAGTGAAAAAGGCTATCGCCGTGAGCGAAGAGCTATTAAAGAACAAATTCAAAGTCTCTTGCATAGTAAGTGACATTGGTTCTAGAGTGCAATTTGTGCTAGCATGGGGATCTGCCTCAGGAGGAGCGTGATGCAATAATGAGTGAGTTTCGAAGTGGAGAGTCGAGGATTCTCCTGAGCACAGACATCTTGGCTCGAGGTATTGATGTGCAGCAGGTGTCATTGGTTTTGAATTACGATCTTCCCAGCCGCCGTGAGACCTACATCCACAGGTACTTGTAGTGTTGCTTTGTTTACTTAATGTGTAGGATTGGTCGTGGTGGTCGATTTGGTCGAAAGGGTATAGCGATCAACTTCGTTACTGACGAGGATATCCCCCAACTGAACGAGTTGGTGAAGTATTACAACACTCAGATACTGGAGATGCCCTCAGATGTAGTGGAGACGTTGTAATTATATCGACCTGCGTATGGGTGGAATTGCAACGAAATGTACGATTAAGGACCAATCGGTTCATTTGTGCTTTCTATCTTGTTTGTAAGTATACAGTGTCAGGTGCTCATGAACATATTAATTGTAATTTTATAGACGAAGAGTTGTTATTTTGTGTGGTAAGGTTGCAAGAAGGCTGACTGTTAGATGGAGGTGTGTGGAAGGGCTGGACTGGGCCCTGTGTAGCGTTGCTTGTGTACATTACCTTTTCTGTCATGATGATGTCATTTGTTCCTGTGGTGTGCCTGACCACGCACCATAGAACTAGGTACCGTCGAGGATGATTTGAATGTATCCACGAGCTTGCTGACGTAATAGCAGACTTATCACTCCGGTTTTAGTTTGTGCCAAAATTGGGCCAAAGAAGAAGGTCCCAGGTTTCCACTGAGCTTGCTTGTTGTATTGCTTTGCTGTTATTGCGTTTAGTTTGGTTTGAGGTTCCATTTACTGGGAGTATTTTCACGTGTCAGTGTTGCCGCGGGTACACGAATGTCGCTCTCACATGTGGTGCAGTTCGGCGTTATCCTTGAAGCATTGATCTGTAACTGGTGTAGGTTTTTGTGAAGTGTTTGCGATGGCGGCACGAAGTGGACGGTATCGGTTCATCGACTCTGCTGTGGCGTGGCTCCCGTCTCTGTATCATGATCAGCGGCCCAATTAGCACAATCCAAGAAATAGTCTGATTTGGAATGCTGCCTCCGTCGGGAAATATATGCGCGTTGGACACTAAATGATCAAGAAACGCTTTTTCAGTGTCACGTAGGATTACTGCAGGGTGGTTTTTATTTTGAAATTGAACATTGGCAGCGATCGTGCAAGTGTAGCAGGAGTGAACACCGCAGAACCTCTTGGTAGTCAGTGCTTCATCAATGCGTGAGATACATTTAGTCCAACCCCTCAATTGGTCACAGTCGTTTTCCTCCGCAGGTGGATCTCCACATAAAAGACGTCCACTGGTGTATTTTCGGCGTTCTGGGGGTGTGGATTCGTCGATGTGTACTTAGTTGTATAGTGTTCCAATCAGCTCTCCTCTGCTACCGTCTGGGCTATCATTTGGAAGCAGACTTCTCCTCGCCATTAATCTTGCTAGTCGTGCACAGCATTTGAGGAGTGACTTGTGTGGCATTGTGTTGCCCCCATGGAAAACTAGCTGCACAATTGAGCATCACATCAATTTGCAATGAAGTTACCCGTTAGAGTCACAAAAATGGAAGGATTCGTTTGTTCCTTCAGTCGAGCAGACTGAAAAGCCTTACTTGGTGGGTCGAAAGTGTCCACTTGTGTCTCTGGTCAGGTTTATTTGTGTGTGGCACTGGTCCATCACACTTAATGGCAGATATCCTCCATGCCAATGCCCCATTTTAAATCAGACGTCACGCACAGCTTCTTTGCAGTGTACCACTTTGGTATGGAAGTCGTAAGGACTATTTGAAGGGCATGATGAAGTTGGAGGAAGCACTGGAGGTAGGAATCCCGCTAGTGCAACCTCTGTGTGGATAGGTGTAAGCACAAGATTCCGTTTGATTAGCCGGACCTTGAGTGCATAATCTGCGTCGTCACGAAGTGCAAATACCAAAGTGGTTCAGCTGAGTCGTTATGAGATTATTCTGTTGCGACCTCGTCGTTTTCATACCTTTGTTGTTGTATCTAAATGCGTGTAA